AGAAAATTAAAAAGAAAATCAACATAATCCTCAAAAATCACACAGAACAAGATACTCTGTAACTGTAATTAAGTGAAAGAAAATCTAAATTAACAATTACTCTTGTCTAATAACCATTCTCATGCCTCTTCTTAACATCTGAGATTCTTGCTCTAAGTTTTAAAAAGCAGTATTACTCAGCAACCAATGAACAACAAATTCAATGTGCTTTCTTCCTTATGTTCTACATGTTGCTGAATGGATGTTTGAACAAGGCAGGAAGAATTAAAGGTCATAAACATACATCACAAGTTATTAAAACATGGCAAATAGTTTGGGGATTTCTTTTCTTTCAGCACCTGGGAAAACATCAGTTAACTATTCACCTCTAAATCTGGGCAGTAGTGGGGGGCCAGGCAGAACAAGGGAAATAGAACAACTGAGCGAGGGAAGAAAACTGTGCTGGCTAGTTCTGCTCAAGGCAATGAGTTCTTTAAACCACTGACTTGGCATGGAAAGAATGTTCATCTTAGAATAGCTCTTGCAGTTCTAGCAATTCATAAGAAAAGGATAATTATGAGAAAGAAGCCCATTTATACTTTAAATGAAGAGATTTAGAAAGTCAATGATGACTCATTTTTTTAGACTGGATGTTACATATTCACAATGATGACTTAACTTTTCTTATAACTCCCGCTGTTTCATAAACTCTTAATGTTGCTATGAATTGCTCCAATGCTGTATAACATAGGAAACACAGTTGGCATGGCCAACTTTATCACTTACTAGGGTTTCCCTTTAAGATTAGGAGTTACCAAAAATGATAAAATCTGAGGAATCTAAAAAGAAAAGTTCTACCTTTTCCTTTTAAGCTTTAACCTATAATTCTTAGAAACACTAAACACTAAATTCAGCCTCCAAACCAAAGTGCTGACATTCTAAAAAATCAGAAACTACAGTTTTGGAAAAAAATTTTTCAATAATAGTTGAATCTTGTGAAGTTAAGGAAGAAATTTTTCACTTGGTAATTTAAGAATATGCCAAATCTAAAACAAATCAAATGAGAAAGCAACATGTAAGATGGCTGAACTTGAAATACATGGTTTTACATCAAAAATATGTATTAATGTATATAAATTTCGATAGCATTTTAGTCATTCAGGGTGCACTGGCTATCAAATTTTATTAAAACCTCATCAAGAAGGAAATCTCAAATCACTCATTATGCTCTATGATTATTGTAAATTGAACAATTTAAAGGAGAGGAGGAGATAATGACATTAATTTCTTAACTTACAGCAATCCTTTGTGGCATGATTTAAAAATATTCTCCTGGTTTGAAATTTATGTAAATTGAATTCATCCATCATTAGTTATTACTAGTCTAGCTAAAAAAAACAGTTTTCTGTAACAATTAGTTCTTTAAAACACTGTTTTTTAATTAGACCCGGGACATTACTAAACTAGCTATAAATATGTACAGTATTTTATTTGGTATACCCAGGTGCCTGAAAATCAACATAAATGCCCTTAGAGTTCTTTCTCTAAATATTCTTCTAATGAAAGCCTTTCACTCAAATTTTTAAGGTAATTAAAATAAATATCCCTTTCATACTCTATTATGTATATGAAGAGGGAATGGTCACTGATCGTCACAGAATAATCATTGGAACAGTATATTTTGCAACATGTAAAGCTTAGTCAGAAGTAACCAATTCTTAATTTTATGAATCTCCATAGTTACATACATCACAAACTCATGCCAGAGCTTGGACCAATCATAATTTAAATTTTAGCTCAAAGCTGTTTCTATCATATCATCCATGCATTTTATTTAGATTATTATACTCAATCCACACCACATCTCAGTAGGTTATATACTATCACTGCTTCATTTTTATTTATTTATTTCTGTGGTACTAGATAGAAATTGAACCTAGGACCTTCACACTGAGTTATATCCTCAGCCCTTTTTGATTCTTTATTTTGAGACGCAGTCTTATTAAATCACTAAATTTCCCAGGCTGGGCTCAAATTTGCAATCCTCCTACCTCAGCCTCCCAGAGTGCTGGAATTGTAGGTAGGCGTGGGCCACCACACTCAGCTACTCTATTTTATACACAGGGAAGTTTATCTGGTTCAGGTAGCATTTAGTCAAGCTAGGATTCAAATCCAGTCTGACTTCAGAAACCACAGTAGCGCTCATAATCGTAAACTTCAAGGACAGGTGGCTAATTTCCATTTATTAAGAAATTTCCCAAATAGCTATAACACTGTCCTGTAAGAGAATAACACCATTAAACTTAAAGGTTTGCAATGCAGAATAAGCCTTCTGTAAAATGAGTCCTCTTCTTAATCCCACCTCAAGCATCAGATTGAAGCTTTTTCCTATCACTCAACTGAGACTAACATTTCTTCAAATCCTTGAAGATTGTTTTGTGTGCATTCCTTGTATGCAAAAGTGCTAGCTGCCTCTTAGCCTTTTCCTTAGTAACAGATATCTAATGTTCAGCTCTTGGCAAACTGCCACATTTCCTAACTTTTTCAGTGGCTAAGTGTGATCACGTGACTAAGTTCTGCAGTAGCAGATGATTAGTCCAAGTATGGTGCTGGAAGTCTAGGAATGTTATTTAAAGAAAGCAGAGTTAGTTTTTAGGGAGCCCTTCTGCTCTTTCCCACTACTTTACTTTGCTATTCAGATGTTTTGGCTGGAGCTCCAGCAACTATCTTAGACCATGAGGCAACCTGGAAGAAGGAAGCTGCCTGCTGTGAGTGGAAGAGGACACAACAGGGGTCTCGACTCACGAGAGATCAGGAGGCCACTAGAACAGCTTAGACGGCCTCCTATCAGATACTATGTAATAGAGAAATAAACCTTTAGTGTGCATCAGACACCATTATTTGTAGATTTTTATTTTTCCCGTCAAAGAAGCGGAACCTAATTCTCATTGAATTCAAACCCATACATATTTCATCACCCAAGGTTGGTTTGTTGAAAGCGGGGCGGGGACAGAATCATTTCTGTTATGACACTGGTGCAAACTCTCTCTGGTAATTTTCAGCTTTGGGAAAGAAAAAAGAGAAAAAGAAATGGGAGGGGAAAATGGAAAAAAGATTCTTCTGCCTCCCTGCCATTGTTAATCCATCTCCTCTTCTACTGGTACTTAGTTCTGCCCATACCTATTTCAAGGCCCAGCTCAGAAAAATCTCTTCTGCTAGGTGTTTGAATTCAGAGTGCATTCTGCTTCTGCCATTTATTTGACAATCATATATCTCTAGTCATAGCTTTTGTTCAGATTGTTAACTTTGACACTGCATTTCTTTTGCTATGTGTCACCTCCACGGCCTAGTGGGAACTTCCTCATATATCTCTGCACCCTCCACAGCTGCAAGAAACTACCTCAGAGTGGCAGGACATCAACAAATACTTTTGATTGATTAACTGAATTAAAGTATGAAAAATGGTGAGGAAAGGAAAGAGAACCGAACTAAGGAGTGAGAATGCACAACTTAGTAGTATAGAGGCAGAATAAAGTTCTAAAGAATCTCTAGACCAATGTCTTCTTCACTGGGCCTTATCACACACCTGGGGCTGGCAGAGAAATATCACAATAGCTTCAGTCAGTGCCAAGCTCTAACTGTACCACTTGGTAAGCTTGTTCTCCTCCGGCAGTGCAGTGCCTTTTGCTCCAATTTGACTTTCTCAATGAGCTACGGACACTTTTAAAAGTAAGAGACCCAACTCAAGAAGCCTTATTTGTAGTAGATGTATATGATTTCAAACCATGTAACCAATTGGTTACCAGAAAGGTCATATTTTACAGATAGGATTCTGCTGAACAATTGTGACAGCATAGAAAATAATACTCGAAGATATGACATTACTGACTTCCTAAAATATTAGAGTCTAAACTAAGTAGGCCAAAAGATCATTTTTGTCAAACAAACTTTATTATTTCTCTTCTAAAACCCAATAATAACACAGCATCACACAAAAAACATCACAATCTCTTTAAAAAAAAATAGATGTACTTCAAGCATATATTTTGTGGAAGCTACATCATTAAAAGTGTGATAAGGCTTATAGATATTAAAAGCTGTGTGATACTATGTGAAATTAATACTGTATAACAATGAGCTTAAAACCTTTAACTAATTAAACTATATACAATACAGTAACAAGTGACATAAAGAACATTTTAGACACAGGTAATTGACATTTTATCTAGATTCATGAACTAGTTCATACTCCAATAATTTTATTCTCAATTATTTATTAATTATTATACTACATATTTGTTAATGTGCTATGCACCTAAAACTATATTCTAATCTATTTTCATGAATTTAGCCAACTTTTAGGATATAAGGGATAATATTAAATTAATAGAAAATTTAGTTTCTCACTTTTAACATCCTTATAATTATATTGGTTCTACTTATGAGTTAAACTACTTTTGAATATTTGTATATAATTCATAGCTCTAAAACTCTAAAAATACTACATTTCTTGCAAATTACTCATTAATTATATCCTCATGTCAAAATTTTTTTCACAAAGATTTCTCAGAAGTCTCTAAGACAGTGGCTTCTTTGACAGTGAAATGTACAAAATAAATGACATGTCAACAAGTAAATTAGCATTCCCTTTCTGACCAGCTGGGTCATGTTTCCTTTACAACATCTCTAGTCCCATGATACAAAATAATAATAATCTAAAAGACCTCCTTAAATGATCAATATATTGATATAACCTCTATAAGGAGACATACAGTGTTTTAATTGATTCCTGAATCCATTAAATAGAATATTAACCCCAAACCTCCAAAATATATTCTAAGAAAAAATTTACTTTATTCATTAACTAATTTTCTTTAGGGTGTTGATAATGGCACATGAAAAGATTTGAAAATTTTTATATTTAATGAAAGGGTTAAAGAAATCCAGCGTTTACTAAATATTTCATACAAACAATAATACAGCAAAAGTTACAACAGATAAGTTAAACCGTGTTTACTTACCAAAAAACTTCCAAAGGCTGAATTAAATATCGCAGCTGCCTAAAGAGAAAATAAATGGGGGAAAAATTCACTAAAAGTAAATAGGAATAAGAAAAGCAAAGATTATCATTCTCCCTTCCCCCACTATTGAAACCTTTAAACACTGACCCTGTAAAGCTATGTTACTCATTGCTTACAAAAATTGCCAGTGGCCTGTACTTTACTAAGACTGATGAGCTGCAGCTTAGGAATTCATAAATAAAAGGTCTCAAAAGCAGGTGAAAAAGGTTTGCTATGAGATGCTTTGAACCTGTATGACAGTACCAAAAGAATCATCACCAATAGTAAATCAAAACCTTGTTGTTATTGATTTTGCTGCTAGGCTTAGAACAATCAGAGGTTGATTTATTCATCAAAAAAATTCATATTACTGTGAAAAGGAACAAGAATTTTAAAGGAAACATTAATTGGTCCCTGTCAGTGAGCAAGTACTATATACTACAACCACAAGGTGAGAGACATTGCTTCCTTACAACACACTTTAGAAATCTGAACAATGCAGTTAAAACCAAGAGAAGCACTGCTAATGCCACTGAATCTAAGGTAGTAACAAGCAAGAAAAACTGCAATTTAGTGCTCAAAATTCAAAGAAGAAATACTTGATTTTGGTCTTACCTAAACATCCACGAAAAGCACAGTAGGTATAAGACAGCTCTTAACTTTCAATCAAGCACTATATTCCGTGAAGCTACACCACAGTCCTGAAAGCTTTTCACATTAACCAAAAAGGAGAAAAACTTGCATAACATTCAATTTGATGAAAGAAAATGAGAGAGGGAAAATTAGGAAAAGGCAAAAGGGGGGGGGTAGAGAAATCCTATTTCCATCTCCAGCAGATCCAGAGCAGAATTAAATTAATCATCATGGACATTAGCAACCACAGTGTAGTAAAATGAGGGTGTCAGTTAGTAAGTTTGAATAAAGTCCAAAGCCAGGCTAAGAGCTCTAGCTGAAAATGCCTTCTGCCCCAGAAGAGGATGCAATAAGAGTGAATGGGTAATGAGAGCCCTGGCTCCAGAGAGCTTAGCTCTCCTATTCCAGTTCATAATTAATTCAAAGCTTTGATAATTTCATTAGATTTCTCCTTTGCTGGCCCTATCAATAAAAGATGGCACTGGACCACAGCTTCTCTGTGGCATAAACAGAGGCATAGGCACAGACCAGGGAAACCTCTGCTTCCTGATGGGGACAACGGCATATGGTGTTCCATGTTGTACTGGGAGCAGTAGAAAATTTTTTTTTTTAAAAAAGATTCAGCTAAATAAAACATTACAGATGACAACCGTAAACTACAGCAACATAATTAACACATCTTCCTGGAATCCCATTATGGATGATTCTAGGAAAGTTTTATGTATAGTGAAAAATAAAAGGATATACATGAGTGAGTTGTGGGCAGACCAACAGGGAACACTGCATTTCTACAAAATACACTCCCCCCCCACCAAACAATCTTCCTATCTCAACCCTATATTGTGCTTAAAATGGGTTTCTCTCTCTTGTTTAGTAAAGGAATGAGGTCTTCTCCTTTGAGCTCCTTTCTTCCAAATTCATTTCCTTCCAGTGCTTTTCATTAACCTTTTATCAGATAAGTGATAGGTTCGTGTAGCATTTAAAGTAACGTGGACTAAGAGAAAAGCAAGTACTAAGTACGACTCGTGAGGTCGAATCACCATATCCCCATTCTGTTCTCTTTTGTAACTCAAACCCAAGTAGCATGCTTTATAGAAGTCGGATATGATGGTGGAACCAATGACGGTGAATCTTAGGTCTCCAAAGATGCTGGACCAATTCCCCTTCGCTCCCTTGCTGTCCCTTCCCCTCTCATCTTCTCTCTGTACTGGGGACAGAACCCATGACCTTCACACTGTCTACATCCCCAGACCCTTTCCATTTTTTTTTTTTAAAGGTAGGACCTCGCTACGTCACTAAATTACTCAGGCTGGGCTTGAACTTGTGGTTATCCTGCCTCAGCCTCCCAGAGTGCTGGGATTACAGGCACATGCCACCATGCCCAGCTTTTTAGTTATTTTCTGACAATGCTGATGGATGTGAACTTCCTCAGTTGCACCATCTTCCCACATGGTAAACTCTGGCAATCTTTTGTGAAATGGTTGGTTATGGTTCTGCGTACTCTGAATCAGACAATGAATCAAGGATCTTGGGCTCAATGACACAGATAGATAAGCTAACTATTGGCTAAATAGTTGGGTCAATTCTCTCAATAATTGTACCACATAAGAGGAGTTGCAAAGGGCAGTGGCAAATATATACAGTACTTCGTTGTTAAATAAATGACATGCATGTCTTTTGACTTAACATCATGTATAAGTCCCTCCATCAACAGGTTTCCCAAATTTCCTGCCTCAAATTTTACATTCTGACAACCCTAAATTACTTACTATTCCCCCTTGTTCATTACGCCATTTTTTACCTCTTTGCTTTCCGGCCTGAAATGCCCTTTCTCCTCCTCTACCTGAGTAATTCTCACTTATCTTAGCAACTCAGCACGGGCACTGTCTTCCCAAGAAGTTTTCAATCACTTCCTGGGCTTCACACCTTAACAGGTGCACACACACACACACACACACACACACACACTTATAGACAGTAGACTAAATGTTCCCATGCCTGCTGCTAATACATCCAGTGCTTGTCTCTGCCATGGCAATTGTCACACTGTATGGAAATGACCTCCCTACCTCACTTCAGTGAAAAGTCTTCTAAGGAAGCAATGTAATAAAGGTTATCCTGAGCACAGACATGTTTTTCAGCGGAGTTACTGAAATCAACAGGATTGCCAAAAGTGTCCAGAGTCAGTCTGCCATTCCTACTGAGCTATTACAGGTTTGGTAGAATTCAAGGCTTGGCAGGCACAGGACACTGGATGGCTCCCTTAGAACCTCAATGAAGCACATGCAGTGACAGGAAGTCTACACTTCAGCCTCCCAGCCAATCTAACAACCTCTTTCACAGCATCCTGCTTTGCTTCTTAAAAAATGTCAACCATTTCCTATTATGATATAGTTAGATAAATACGTTCAACATAATGTTTGGGACTTAGCACTATGATACAGCAACTGAGTTAGTTAAGTAAAATCTAGAGTATCAAAGATATTCTCTACAACTGTGAGCAGAAGAAAATCTGCATATACTGATCTGAATGACAGCAAGGCAAGCTATTTTAAGCAAAAGGGGGCAAGTTTTGCAGGGCATGGTGGCACATGTCTGTAATTCCAGCACTCGGGAGGCTGATTTGCAAGTCTGACCCCAGCCTGGACAACTTAGCAACTTAGAAACCCTGTTCCAAAATAAAAAATAAAATAAAATAAAAAGGGTTGAGGCTGTAGCTCAGTGGGAAGGCCCTAGATTCATGCCCAGTATGTGTGTGTGTGTGTGTGTGTGTGTGTGTGTGTGTATCACATCCTTTTTATCACCAAAAATATCCCTAAATATTGTTAAATTCATTGAAAATATTGGATGGAGTTATTTTTATGTTTTATTTTGTTCAGTTTGTCCTGTTTGGCTTTTTAATTTTAATATGTTCTCTTTTTGTATTTCAACAAGGATTATCAGGGCAGAGAGATGTTGAGCCTTTTTTGTTTTCTTGTTGTTTTGTTTTGTTTTGAACTCTTTTGTGTTAAAAATAGTATTTTGAGATAACATTAAGATTTCAATTCAAACTTTTCACACTCATGATGTCTCTTGTTGGTTTTCACAACATGGAGAGTGAGCACCCTTCGAGCACTGTACAGGAGGCAGGCATTTTCTGGGAGCATCCAGAGCAATGTGAATATTTGGTTTTGAAAACAAACAAAACTTCCAGTATTGTTTTTGTATTAAACAAACATGGCTACAGAGAAAACAAACTTCAGTATCTGTAAAAGCACCTGGCTCGTAGTCCACTCTCTATAAATGTTACTGAAGTGATGAATGCATGAATGAATGAATGAATGAATGCACTAATATTTCTTGTACTAACTGAATGTCCTTCACAACAATGCCTTTATTATTAACTCATGAATCTCATCTGCAAAGTGTGTATATTAGATTTATTATATTTGATAATTAGATCAAGGCTAACTTAAAATTTTCATATTATGGTAGTTTTTTTAATAGTGAGAAGATTGCTTCTACTATATTGCACATTTTTAGATAATATTACTTTCAGTATCAACCCAGTTTTATCCAATATAAGGTACTTTACTAATGCTTCATTATATATTGTATAATATGTCTTTATTAAATTACTTGGGAAAATTGAGAAAGTTCAACAGTAAATTAGTTTCTTCATAATCTACTTGTAATTATTTAAAGTAAAATGGTAAATTGTTTTAAAAGCTGAAAACAATGAGGATAGAGAGTTTTCTCACTCAAAAAAGCAATCACTTCCATTGCTGAATGGCACTGAATATTATGAAATTCTACCTTACTATAAACATGACATCCATGCCTTTCTGTAAATGCTGTCCCCTGACCATGTTCTGCACTCCACAGTAACAAAAGTATGCTGATCCCTTTTAAAAGTAGATTTAAAATATGTATATGACTACTGCATGCTCCTATCAAGTCATATAAAATTATATCAAAAATTTTCTTAATGCTGACCCAATGCCCCTCTTTTTAAAAAATCCATTATTTACATTGAGTATGAATGGTTTATTGCAAGTTAATTTACTGTATTTCTAGCTTTGGGTGTTGAATAACCCGATTTGCATTGTTAAATCACAAAGCAATGTTTACACAGAAATGTTTATCAAACTGTTAAAAATGGGTATCTATGGTTATCTCTGAATTTCTGAGAACATGTGGCAAATGCCACACTATTCAAAAGTAAGATAACAGGCACATACCTCAGTACTCATAACAAGATGACAAAACTGTGCCAGAGAACCCTTCACACACAGGCTCATCTTTGCAAAGAAGGTAGGAGAAATAGGAAAGAAGCAAGAATAGCATTACTGTCCCATGCTGATGCTTTACCGAAGGAACAAATTCCATCCTGGTCTGCCAAAGAAGCAGGGGTACCTGCTATAAGCCTTCCTTAGAATTGGATGGCAGGGATAGCAAGGGTGTGTAAGACCTGTAAACTACAGACAGGTATGTGCTGAGGAGAAAGAGCAAAGATGGGAGACTGCTTCGAACAGACCACAAATGTAGGGCAAAGGGAAAGGGTAAGATTTGGACAAAGATGGGACAAGGTTCTCTCAATTCTATATGAACCAAGAAGATGCCTCAGTGGACTCCATTGGCACTTCATTTGTTTTTGAGAGACCAAACTCAAGAGGAGACTCCAGTAATAAGAGGCGAATGGGGTTTGACTAGGACCAGGGCCTGGCGGTATATTCAGTATACTCTAAAGAACCCTTTCCCTAACCCGTCCAGCAAAAAGAGCATGCTAGTCAGATTTCCATCATTGTGACAAAACACCAGAGACAAACAACTTAAGAGAAGAAAATATTTGTTGTGGCTCACAGTTTCCGAGGTTTAAGTCCATTGCTGGTTAATGTCATTGCTTGTGGTGAGGCAGAACATCATGGTGAGGAGTGTGCAGTGGAGAAAGCTACTTACCTCATGGCAGTCAGGAAGCAAGAAGAGAGCAAAGAAGGGGCTAGGGTCCCAATATCTCCCTCAAGGTACGCCCCCAACGACCTAACTTCCCTCCATTAGGCCCCACCTCTTAAAGGTTCTACCCCCTCCAAATAGTCCCATGGGCTGGGGACAAAACATTTAGCATATGGGCCTTTGGGGACACTGAAGACTCAAACCACAACAAAGAGTAAGTACCTGGACATGTGTGCTGACAGAGAGCACTGAGGCCCCACTAGAGCAGCAGCCATGAGATACAACTGTCCCACTTCCACTCATGAGCCAGTCCACTCCCACCTTGACTTCCCGGAGGCCAGAAACAGGAAGGGCAAGAAGGTTAAAAAATAAAATAATGAAACAGATCACAATTTTTCCCCACAGGTCCAATTTAAAAATTCGTAGTATTATCTGAGTATATATTCATTAATGAAAAATTATGTTTCTATGCTTTAAAAATACAGGTTAGGCCTAGGTTAAGATACAGGGAATATAGTTTTTACCTAAACTGCCCTGGATCATGGGTTATTCAATCCTAATTGCTAAATACATGACTTTTTATTTTTCCAGTACCAGAAATTGAACCCAGGGCCTTTGCATTGAGCTGAATCCTCAGACAAGGCTTTGTTAAGTCACTAAGTGGCCCAGGCTGGGCTCAAACTTGAGATCCTCCTGCTTCAGGCTCCCGGAATGCTAAGATTATAGGCAAGCACTGCTTTGCCTGGCTTAATTGTGTGACAATTTTGTAACTGAAAGTAACCAGGAAGCCATAAGATCTAACAGAGCTGCTCTCAAAGGAGAACTGGGTTGGGGGTAGGAAAATGAGAGAAGGTATGTCTGGTAAATAACCCATTCAATAAAGGGAATATACTGACAAAATAATATTTTAAATATGTAGCTGAGCTAAAGCAAAACAAAACAAAATAACATGAACCAGATAACCAGGTGTGACAAAGCCAGAGTGACGAAGTGCACAAGATGATTCTTCAGGCACACTTTGAGGAAACAAGCATCCAGCTACCTTGGTATAGGCCTGGGGCTGAGCCACCCACACAAAGCACAGCGGTCGGCGTACGCACTGTGCCCTGTGTGTAAGAGCACCTGGAAAACACCTGCTGATTCAAGCAAGGAACCTACAGACCGCAGGAGTTGAGTTTACACTGCTCGGGTGATTCAAGAATCCTAAGCTAATGTTAAAGAACAGACGAAAGGGTCAAGGACCAGTGGGACTCCTGAGACCCTGAAAGAAGTCAATACCAAACTTCTCCTTAGCGTCACTTTGATGACCCACAACACAGTGAATTACCAGAGAAAACAACCCTTAATTACTGCAGAGAGCACTGCAAATGAGGGAGAAAGCTACCCATGACGCAAGCGCCATTTCCAAGCAGCGTGGAAAGGAGATGCTTCTGGCCCGTTCACAATACATGAAAGGGAAAAAAGACTAGGTAGATTAAAGACCTAGATGGGAAAGGCAAAATTTAAAACCCCTGGAAGAAAATGTAAAACCATCTCCGAAAAAGAAACAGGTTTTAAACACAATGCAAAAAGTACAAATGAAAGAGGTAAAGCTGGGGTAGCCATGCAACAAAGCCCTGGTCAATGAGACAAGCTGGATGGTAGGGAGCTGGAGGGCGGCTTCCGGTGGGGCGGCTTCTGGTACGGTCCCTTCTCGCGCCCAGCCAGTGAGAGCTGCCCTGCAGCCATAAAGAGCACATCTGAGACACCGCCCTGACATCACAGAGCCACAGAGCAAACACCAGCAATCTGACCTCCAGACATCTTCCGATATGAGAAAAATAAGTCCTTGCTTGTTTGTGCCACTTTTAGTCTGATTTTCTGCTACTTGAAGCCTAACCGACACAATCATGACTCTAAAGAAGGGAGAAAATAATACTAATCAGGCCAGAAGAAACAAAAAAAGCCCTTCCTCTAAGGTAAAAATTTTAGTAGGCATCTTAAGTTTTATTTAGCACATTCTTTGGCTCCCATTGCCTACGGCAAAGTAAGGAAAGACAACTAACTGACTCTAGGTCATGGTTGTTAGATACCAAAACTGAACAGCTTTACCCAGGAAAAGATCCTGGACTATGTGAATGTAGTCTCTAAAGATGCAACTATCTATTTACAGGACAGAAAACTAGCCTTAATATTCACTTTCTCTCTTTTTAAAAAATGTTTATTCATACATGTTTGCAGTACACAATGATTACATTCATCGTGGAGAGTTGGTACATGTACATAGCACATCTTAATTCTTTTTTTCATCCCCTTCCCCCACACTAATCCCTTCATCTTTTGGTCCTCATCCCTCTTGCAAAAGATCTATCTCCCTATTTCCTATTATCTATCTTTTATTTTGCTCTTTAATTTATTTATACTTTGGGTTTCTCTTGTAAGTAAAACCACGCAATATTTTAGTGTGTGTGTCTGTCCACTACACTTAATAATTATGGCCTCAAAGTGCATCCATTTTCCTACAAATGACTCAAGTTTATCCTTCTTTACATCAGAGTAATACTCCATTCTGTATAAATACCACAGTTTCTTTATTCATTCTAAGCATAAATTCAGTTTGAAAAACATATAAACATTTAAAACATCAGAGGTTGAATTCCAATCCTTGGTCATCATCAATTGAATACAGGAATACAGAAATTTTTTACTTGTAAGGAACTTTTAAAAGTGCTCTATACAAAAGCAAAAAAGAGTTCATTGTTTTCGAAGATAATTATACTTTTCACATTAGCAACTCCTTTGCTACTTTTGTTACCACTTAAGTACTATTTTCACTGTAAAAATATGTAATAAGTGACATTTCAGTTATACATTTACATATATGTATCACACTTAAATAGTAATTAGCAATGCAACAGAAAAGCAAATATAAAGGCTATCAAAAGGATATCAATTAAAATGAGTTTTTACACTCCTCAATATTAAAGGAGCACCTTTCATTTCATTCTATTTATGTATATCATTGTATTTTAAATAGCAATGGCTAAACAGTAAAATGCTATTTTGTGCTTGCTCTGGCAACAAATATACTAAAATTGAAACAGTAGAATGCTATTTGGAAACTATAATTGAATATGTCTTTTCAACAACGAATCTTAATGAAGATTATATACCTCTACCAGGCATTCACCAATTTAAAATAAAAGATTAATTTGAGAACACTTAAACTCCTTGTTTCAAAAAATATTTCAGGAATGAAGAGAAATGTAAGTTTCAAGTAAATGTTTGACATCCAGCTGTTTTCTAAGAGTAAGCTACATTTCTTGCCTATTTCTACAGGTTCATTTTTGATACTATTATGGAAAAATTATTTAATATCCTCAATCTTAAGGAGAATGGAGGTTACTGTTCTTACTATTCATCTCAATTCAGGTAAGGAAAAAATATATTCAAGTTACTGTTTCTGGGTGCTAAATTGAATCAGGTGTCCTCTTCTCTTAAGAAAATTAAGTTGCTTTTGTGCAAGAGTGTTTTAATGAGAACAGAGCCAGCCGACAGTGATAAATGGGAATGACACCGGAGAGAACACGTAAGCAGGACAATATGTGCACGTTACAGTCTTACAGCCTATTTCTCACTGACTATTCTGAATGACTTCGCTGTTTCTTAAGGGGCCTATTAATCTCAAATTTAGTTATTACACAACGTTTATTTGAACATATATTCTGCAGATGATGACAGTTAATAAAGGAAATCTTTCACAAGCTGTATTTTTACATATTGTTCCAACTACAGCTCCCAGTCATTTGAAGGTATTGATGGAGTAACCTACATTGTGCTGAAGCCTTTTTTTTTTAAAGGCACATATATTCAGATTATTTTCTAAGCACATGGGGACTCTTAAATAACCATTAAAATGCATACAAAAAAATCCTAGTACAAAATGGTAAAAGTAAAAGGACATCTTAGCTATTCAACAAAAATCGTTTATTGTGCAAACTGACCCTTCTAAGGCAAACCAGACACCTTTTAACACTTTTAAAGGCTTGGTGGCTAATATGTAATAGTTCTTGCATACCAATCTACATTTTCGCAATATGCACAGAGCAGGAGAGAGTGAGCAAAATCAATTTTCTTGAGGTGCAAAAAGAATCAAGTAATATAGCTGCTTTCTTTTCTCCTCGGTATACTTTTATGACAAAATGCTATGTACTTAAAATAGTGGAGTCTGTATTTCTTATTTCTAGTAGCATATCAAGCATTAAGAAATTGCTTTTGTATCTTCCTAAAAACATATTTATCAACTGAAATAAATATATTGATTCAGGTTGTGGTTCTGGTTCCTGGAGAAATTTGTTACTTTAAGTGTTACTGGCTAATAATAACAAAACCTAAAGACATAATAAGAAATACATGTAGTAGTTCCAGACTTTTAAATCTGTTTTATCATTGAGATGATTATAGACTTAATAAAATCTTTATTTTGTCCTTCCAACATCTCGGTCTTCCAGGGTGTTCAATTTCAGTAAAATCAGAATTTTCAAGTGGGAAGGATCCTTAAATACATGACAATCCCTCTATTAGGAAGAAAGAGAACTCCCGAAAGACACAGGGTCTTTCTCAAAATCAGGATGTATAGCAGCAATGCCAGAATGGAATTCATCTCCGGACAACCGCAGTACTCTCTCTCTCGTAGATATACTGACTAGTTCACATATTATCGTAAACAGGCATGTGTACCTATACAGTAGGAAAAACGGCATATGCCAAACACTAATAGTGGTTATGTTCAGGTGATGATTATGGGTGTTTCTTCCCTTTGTGCTCTTACTTGATTTTTGTCCTAATTATATGTTTAGTAGTGAAAACAAAGCATATCGTGTGTTAGATGTTAAGTTTATTTAGAATTCTAGAGACTCTCTCTTTGATCTGTAGGCAAACTTGGAACAATGCTATGCACATATTAGGTGCTCCATCAATGTCTGACTAAAAATTGGCTGAACTGAGGGAAGTAACAAGAGGAGATTACCTGAAGAGTCTTCTTTGCTTCATTATCACTAACTACTCAGAGTAACACACTATGGGTATCACCCAGAACACTGGCTCCTAAATTGAAAATTCATATAATTTATTTATTATACAGCTTATTAAACACTTATAAATATCAAAGATTAAGTTGAACAAAAGTTACTTAAAATGTTACTAATATTTGACATTACATCTTCTTAAAAGGCCAATTTATCAATATTCTTGAAGTTTAATTTTTATTAATTTTTTGGGTTTCCTACCTCCGTCATAAAGGAATAAAACAAATACTCTTCTAATAACTCATTCATCTAACACAATTTCTTGTCAGGACCTCAGAATACAAAAATAAAGAGTGTAGAGTACCAAGTCACAGTTCAGGGTTAGAAGACATACATTACAGCACAATACAAGCTCAGTAGTATCAAAGAGTTGTAGCAGCCCAGAAATTAACTATTAAAATTTCCTTTAGAATGGACTTTTTCCAGTTTCTCCTAGTGATATACAACAGCATTTCTCTGATCAATTAATGGAAGTTCTGCTTAATGCCAACACATGGATTAAGCTCTCACACCAAGGCAGAAACCGGCCATGAATTCCCCTAACACTTTGTTTAGAAGGGCATCCACAAAACGTTTAAGTGACAACTTGTGTCAAAGCATCTAATGGTTCTTACAAATTGTAGACTCTACCTACCTAACTCTGTGATTTCCACTCTTTTCCATCCATTAAGTCTGGCAACCTCAGAGCTTCTTAAGAGGGCAGTGGATCAATCCCTCAGCAATAACTCTCTCATTAGCTTTTCATTAGCAATAAAAATACTTTCCTACCATCTTCTGGGAAATAATTTACCTAGAACCACAGAATGTGGTGAACTTCTGCAGTTCATCTAATCAAGGTATTTTCCTCAAAAGAAAAAAGAATTCAATGAAATCACTAACAAATGGTACCTACACATCCTAGTCTTTGTGTCTTCAAAATCAAAGACTACACAATCTCCTTTAGAGTTTTAGATTTTAAAATCTGTCTTAAATCACATTTTCCCTAGTCAGTTCTCCCATTTTCTGAAGCTTTTGATTTGAGATCATTTTCTCCTATTATGTCACCTGAAAAAATTTAAGAAGAGCTGGGTTTTTGCCATTACAAGTAATGTGCTAGTAAACATTTAACAACTGGCTATGAGGCTGGGGGTTGAGGGGAACAGCAGTTTGTGACATGTGCTGGTTTTCAGGGTATAAATACTCCAACATGGCCAATTTCAAACTGCAAATGATGCCACCATGCAAGAAAATGGGAAAGATGGCATAATTCCAAAGCATAAGAAATCAGAAAAAAAGAAGCAAATTAAACACAAAATGAGCATTGGAAGGAAATAATAAAGATAGGAGCAGAAATGAAGGAGTAAAACAAGAAGAAATCCATGAAATCAGAAGCCGGTTTTCTGAGAAAACATCAATAAAGCTGATACTTTAAATAAAACAAGGATTAGTGGGGTTTTTTCTGTAAAGAGTCACTGTTCAGCTTTAATCCAACTGGTCTAACACCAACTAGGTATACCTCAGTATGATTCTGATGCTAACAACCTGGAGTTAGTGTCAAACTCCACAAGTTAGAGGTGCAGTCTTCCACAAGACTGTCCTTTGAGTTCCCAAGCTCCCCACACTTCTGACCAACATGGCTACAAATCCAAGTTCCCTTGACCTTCTTAGGCTCAACAATTCAGTAGAATCATTCCTGAGACTCATGGAAAGTGCTTTGCTTGCAATTTTATTAACAGGGTTGCATACCGGGTGCGGTGGCACATGTCTGTAATTCTAGCAATGGGAGGTAGTGGCAGGAGGATCACAAATTTGAGCGCAGCCCGAGCAACTCAACAATTCAAGGCTCTGTCTCAAAATAAAAGACGCTGAGGGTACAGCTCAGTGAGAAGGTCTTGATCCCCAGTGAGGCAGAGAAACAGGCTGAGGGGTCAGGTGTGGGGTGAGGATACAAACAGGGCAAGGTCTAGGAAGGAAGAGATTCCATGCCCTCTCTTCCTGGAGCCAGAGAACAACCTGTTTACCAACCAGGAAACAATAAAAGCTTCAGTCTCCAGTTTTCACACGGGGCCTAATTATGTAGGCATAATTGATTAAATCAATGATCACTTGACTGAACTCAATGTCCAGCCCCCTCCCTTTCCCTAGCGGTCAACCTGCTAGCACTTGGCTTGATCTTTCTGGAGGCCAGTCCCCATCCTGAAGCTAAGGACCCACCTAGAGACACTCAATTTGCATAACAAAAACACTCTGAGCATTCAGAAAATTCCAAAGACTTGAAAATCAGTGCCAGGAACCTGGACAAAGACTACATACCATTTTTTACTATACAACAGTCACATAATAAATATATTAGGCTTTGTGGCCCATGTGGTCACACTCAACTCCACTGTTGTTAAATACAAAAACAGCTACAGGTAATGTATAAACTAATGAGTGTGTCTGTGTTCCACAAAAACTATCTATCTATGGGCACTATAATCTGATTTTGTTTTCAAATCATGAAATTTTACCCTTCTTTTACTTTTTCCGACCATTAAACAAATGTGAAAATCATTCATAATTCACATGCCACACAGCAACATACAGCATGCCTGATATGCCCTATAAGCCACAATTTACATATTTTGGCTATTTATGTCCACATAAGAGTGGGCATCATAGTATCCTTCAGGTTATTTAAGAGACAATAATAAACAACATTATGCCCCAAAATTTGACAACTTAGATGAAACAAAATCCTTGAAAGATACAAACTACCAAAGCACTCTCAAATAATAATAATAATAATAATAATAATAATAATAATAATAACCATTATATAAAAGACATTGGGTATATGTTTAAAAGCTTTCCCCAAAAGAAATCTCCAGGACTAAATGGCTTCATTGGTGAATCCTATCAAACATTACTAGAAGAAATATTAATCTTGTGAAAATTCACCCAGAAAATACAAAAAGAAAACTGTCCCATCATTTTCTGAAATTAGTATTAGCCTAATACCAAAACCAGATTAAAACATCATAAGAAAACTCCAAAATAATTTTCATACACATAGACACAAAATTCCTTTCAAAACCTGAACTAATTGAACCTAGCAATATATAAAAAGGATAATACATCATGAGATGGAATTTATACCTGGGTTTATTCCAGGAATGCAAAGTTGGTTTAAGATTTGAAAATCATCAAGGTAATTCACCTTATTAATAGATTTTTAAAATATACATATGGTCATTTTAATATATGTAGAAAAGTATGTAACAAAACAATATGTAATCATGGTAAAAACTCAGAAAACTAGATTTGAAGAGACTAGATTTGAATAACAATTTCCTCCACTTGACACAGGGCATCTTTATCAAAAAC